AGTGTCGCCCCTGAGAGGAGGCCCTGGTGAAAAGCCAAAACCAGACATGTGCATGGATCCGAGTGATGGATCTATGATCTCAGTGGATCTCTAGGCAAATTGCAGGTTCGGATCTATGATCCCACCGAATCCGGCGTGAAAAATTTATCCTGTATCTATGATCTCACAGGATCTGACGATGAACCAAGGCCATGGATCTATGATCTGAGTGGATCCTACCATGCACAACATTTGAAACCAGGTTTCCAAGTGTTTCTATGTCAATAAGTGCCTTAAACCGATGGATTATGACGTTTTATCACATAAAATCACTAAATAAGAACGTTTGTGAGTTGCAACGAGTGATCTTTTGGGATTTCTGTGTTGATCGAAAATAAATGAGGATCTATGATCCCACTGGATCTCAAGCAAAAATACTAGAATCGGATCTATGATCCCTACGGATCTCTAGATAAATTAAAGAGCTGGATCTATGATCCCGACGGATCCGAGATCAGGATCCGTGGGATCAGATCCCAGATCCATTTTCTCGGATCCAGGCACATGTCTGGCCAAAACCTCAAAATAAAAAATACCATATGATTATCGCTTAAATGACGTCAATGGACTTAAAGTAAAAAATACAAAAGACGAGATAATTTCAAAATTTTGAGTTGCAATTTTTGTCCCCTCAACTTTCAACCTACCCCATCAACTTTTCAAACGTTCCCGGGTCACCACTGCCCCATCGTGCAATTCCAGTGCTATGGCAAAGTTTTATCTGAAAGTTCAAACGTGCCCGATAGACTGGACGCGGTCCCCTCCGTCCACTCACGCTCTCTGGTCTCTGTACGGTCATCGCTGACTGGTCCAGCATCCAACGCGCTGGGTTTATAGAAATTTGGTTAAAAGAAATGAACATATTTTAATGAACGAATCCATTAAGTAATAAAATGAAAATGATTCACAGGTTATTATTACATGTGGGAGCACTGGCGCTGGAACTTTCTCAATGTTGGAGCCGGGCTCGAGGCAGTTTGAACTCATTTCTTTCCATGCAACGCCATAGGGTTAATTACGAGCGAGCGGTGTCTTATGGTTTTTTAGACACCTATATGACTTTTTACTTTTTACTTTTTCTTATTTGACTTTTTCCATTTGATTTTTATCATTTTGACTTTTTTGCCGTTTTTTTCACTTTTTGTCTTTTGACTTTTCGCGTTTTTTGACTTTTTGCCATTTGACTTTTTGCTTTTGACTTTTTGCGTTTTTGACTTTTCGCCATTTTGACTTTTTGCCATTTGACTTTTTTGCTTTTGACTTTTTTCGTTTTTGACTTTTCGCCAGTTCGACTTTTTGCCATTTGACTTTATGCTTTTGACTTTTTGCGTTTTTGACTTTTTGCCATTTTGACTTTTCGCCATTTGACTTTTTGCTTTTGACTTTTTGCGTTTTTGACTTTTCGCCATTTTGACTTTTTGCCATTTGACTTTTTGCATTTTTGACTTTTGGACGTTTTGACTTTTTGCCATTTGACTTTTTGTCTTTTGACTTTTATCCGTTTTGACTTTTATCCATTTGACTTTTTTCCATTTGACTTTTATCCATTTTGACTTTTTGCATTTGACTTTTTGTCTTTTGACATTTTGTCTTTTGACTTTTTGTCCTGGAATCAACATGGCTGCGGAGTCGATGGATTTTTCCTGACTCCGACTCCGGCTTCCAAAAACAGACCCCGACTCCGACTCCTGGCATGACTATCGACTCTGACCGACTCAACTCCGCAGCCCTGGCAGCTCTGCGGAGTCGATGGACTTTCGGTGACTCCGATTCAGACTCACCAAATCGAATCCGCCTCCCGTTAGAGCTGTCGACTCCGACTCCGACTCCACAGCCCTGGCTGGAAGCGCACTATTCTGGCCATCCTATTGCCAAGAGATCGGCCGATCTTTTCGCCCGTTTCGTTTCAGGCCAACAATTAGGCATTTTGTTGGATCTAGGTATTATTTCGTGCTAAGATATTGTATTAAAAGGACAATATATATATTGCAGCTGGCCTGTTGCAATATGCCATCAAAGAACGAGCACACTGTTCAGCACACTGTTCAGTTAAACACAGTCATATTACTATTCCAATATGTTACTGGTTATATACGCAGATTAATGCACGACTAATGACTATCATATAACTTGCGTTCCATTTTCAGCGCTCTTATCTATCGTATGTTAGAATGTTGTTATCTCACTTTCAAGACATCACAGTGAGTCAGCATCAGACGACCAGTCTGACAGACAGACAGACAGACAGACCTGTTATCTCGCCCCCAGACATTTATGGGTGCACTGCACGCTTCCATATATGGCAATATTCAAGCTGGCACCTCATAGATATTATACAGATCATCTCCTCGGATGATGTGGGTAAAAATAAGTCACACGCGTGCCGTACAGTGTGATCTTAGCTGATTTACCTAGTACCTAACGAGTAAGTACTATATATCTACTCCTTTTACATTCCGGACTGTGAAAGAAGCGCTCGCAAAGTTTAAATAGTCGCATTTCAAGTTTGATTTTTTCTCGATTTCTTGCTCCTTCCTACCTCCAATCAACAACCTCGATCTCCTCCCTCACCTCATCACCTTTCATTCATTCGTCCATCGATCTGTATCGAATCCACTGCAACCGTCGTCGTCACTCCTTCTGAATCGCTCCTCAAAGCTCACTCTTCCTCACTTGAAGAGCCCGAGCTTCCGGATCCCGAGCAATAGCCGCCAAAGCCGTGCCCAAAGCCGAAGCCGTGTCCGATGCCGTGCGTTGCCTTCTTGAGGACGTAGGCGCTGCCCAGCCCGGCCGCTAGTGGTACACCGTACTTGGCTAGCTTGGATTTCTTATCCTTCTTGTGGGGCTTGCCGTACTGTGGGGGGAGGGAGGGAGAGAAAGAGAGAGAGAGAAAGAGAGAGAGAGGGAGAGGGAAGGAGAGAGAGAAAGAGAGAGAGAGAGAGAGAGAGAGAGAGAGAGAGAGAGAGAGAGAGAGAGAGAGAGAGAGAGAGAGAGAGAGAGAGAGAGAGAGAGAGAGAGAGAGAGAGAGAGAAAGAGCATATCCCTGTTATCTATAGCTCGGGTAAAAGGGGGGACTAGCCCTACATACTCCAGGCTGCACCCAGCCGTGTGACCTGACGACATACAGAAAGGTCGCAACACGCAAGTTTTTAGACATAATTCCTATGCCTTTTATTTTATCAGTTTATCACAAATATCAATACCTCTTATGTTAACACATAAAATGTTTAACTAAGTCCCTAATTACGTAAATGAGGTAGGTCTTTTCTTTGAGAGATGTCACTTATGACCTGGTGACCTGGACAACGACCCCAGGTTTGAAGTTGTTCACAAAATGTGCAGGAAACATGCAACAGCACAAGCTACAACGAAAACCTAAGAACCAAGAAAACGCTCCACCTCTTCCCTCCACCACAAGACGCGTGTTAAGCCGACTAGTCGAGGCAAATTGGACAGGCGTTCTAGACAGGCAATCCATTAAAGTTCCGAGTCTCCGGCTAACCTCGTAACCACTAACCGTCAGCCAAGAAGCGCACTAGTTTTAGCAGGTTAGAGTGATTTGGTAATTTGCTGATGTGTGCAGAGCCGAGAAAGACCATCTTGGACCGTATTGCAGGCACTTGCACACGTCATTTACCAAGGTCCATATGGACTTGCCGCAAAATGGACACTACCGTGGAGAGATTTAGCAGCTAACTGTTCCATGGTCGAGCAAATTCCAGCTAATCAACTTAGCGCCAATATGAATTATGACCCATTGAAACAGAGTCTGATCATGTAAATCAATGTCAGTGATGCTCATGGTTGTGTAAAATAACCGTTTGAAGAGCCCAATTGGTGCTCGAATAGTCCAGGCGCTGTAGCTCATGGGCTGTCATGAATGACCACGAGTCGTGGTACGAACTACGAATGTTACGGGTGATGGTCCGGGTGGTTTACCAATGCTTTGCTTCAGCAAGTATCGACTAACGACACTGTTGGTGGAGCAGCACTGGTCAACGAGCGATGCCACGCACAAGGTGATTAGATCGTAAGATATGTGTACATACGGGAGAGATAAATGCTGGGAATAGCTCTCTCAAAATAACTAGGAGACAAGCTTTGGAACAAGAGCAGGCAAGATTTGGAAAACAAAGAACTTACTAATCCACACTGGGGACGAGAGAAAGAACGACAGCACACAGACAACTGCAGATCTGACACGAAACGACTAAAGCAAACGCCAAACGCACAGCATGATGAAGGACTCAGTTTGATAGAGATGCAAACCTATAAGACAGACACTAGTCGGATTTACCGTAGACAGTCCGAACTCCGAAATGCAGAGAAAAGATCAACAGCAAACGACACACCATAGAGCAAAAAGAACCAGCCCTTGTGCAGACATACGGCCAATACAGGAATAGGTATATATATAAACTCTGCTTTGTATAGCAGAGGCCAAGACATCGACAAGCATTCAGCAGGTGTCACTGATCACCTGAACATGACTGAACAATGAACATGGCAGCCATCTCTCAGGGTCAAATGTGTGTGCCGAGAAAACAACGTGGCACTGCTCAGCAGCACTTGGCAGTTTCGACAGAGATTGTGGGCAGACTGCAGAGCTCAGCTCACAGCTGGCACGCACCCATGTATACAACATAAATAAGTGACTACTGTCGTTGAGGTTGACTCACATGTTATTATAGTCATTACGTCACTGTAAATGTGAAAGAGAGCATTGGTAAACGGTTTAAAAACGAAGCACGGAGTCTCGAATTGCCAAAATACTGAACATCAGTGGAGCCTAAATTGAAAACGGATGTAGAAACTGTAGCATCAATCCCCAAAAGTGTTATAAATTGCAGTGCCTAAGAGCCCGGGAGATGCCAAGTATCGTTCGAATGACCGTTATCTTGATGGAAATCGCAGTCAGAGGCCTGATGCACAACAGATAGACGGACAAAGAAACACAAATAAAACAATCCAAACTTCATATATTGTCGCAGTGGAACCACTATTACCCATCAAACTAGCAAAATATACATATATAGTAACATTTAATTCACACCGTATGACTGCTAATAAACACGTCACATAGACTGATTCAAAGTTTTTAACCACTTTCGCGTGAACAGATGGCCATTTGCCGTCCAACTGGTTTGGCCGACCTAGCATTCAGCCAGACACCGGACGAATTCACTTACGACTAGGCTAACGTGCAAACATCGTGCATAAGTCGGAATAGCTGTTCCGACAGAGGCGAAGGGCTGTGTTGCTAAGCTCCCATGCGTCTCAAACTCGGCAAAACAAGCAAGGTAAATTATTACAAAAAGCTGGCGCACATGGCTTGAATGATGTAATCGCTGCTGGGATTACAAATCAAATGTTTTACAAAATGGCATCAAACTTCTCAGTCTCAATTACATTGTCATCCAAAGCAACTGGGCAGTGGGTCCGTAGCAGCAGCCATAACCCAGAAGATCCTCATTCCGGTGACAAAATATACGGGGAACCCAATGAGACTGAAGCGGCTGTGATTATATGGGGTTAATTGTCGTATTGGTGCGTGACTGTTAACTGTTACTGCCATCCCTGCAGCGCTGGCCACTAGCACATAGCGATGCTTCGGTCTCACGAGGGGTGAGCGGCCCAGCCTGGCCAAAGCTACCCCAGGGCCCCTGGCAATCCCCAATACCCCATCCGCTGAATACACTGCGTCAGCGCCGTCTACCGAAACACAGACAGCGCCCTCATCCATCTGCCGCAGCGCCTTCCGTTCGAGCTCGCCAGTAATTCGTCACTCTTTCCCCCACATCACTCCTCCTCGCTCGACGAGCTGCTGGAGCTGCTGGAGCCGTGGTGGAAGCCGTGCCCGAAGCCGTGGCCGACCTTACTCAGCATATAGGCGCCGCCCGCGCCGGCCGCCAGCGGCACACCGTATTTGGCCAGCTTGGACTTTTTGTCCTTCTTGTTCTTTTTGTGGTAGCCTTCGGGGCCGTACTGCAGGGGACACGCGGCGGTGTTACAGGGTTATATGAACTCCGGGGAGACCGATCAGCGGCAGTAACTATAAGCACTCAGTCAGTGTCAGCGCAGACCCACCACCAGTGAGTAGTCGACAGACCGCAAACATTCTGAGCTACTGTATATATTTGATAGAGACAAGTAGAAAAACACGGAACAAATAGTGCATGGACGCGTTTCGATGATTAAATCTTCATCAGCATGACATAATCACAGAGAAAACAAGATATCTTGTTTTCTCTGTGATTATGTCATGCTGATGAAGATTTAATCCTCGCATGTGTGCGGCGTTTGCCAGCTTCTAATGTGTAGGGGGGGGGGGGGGGGGTCGGTTGGACCCCCCCTTGCCGTTTGGCCCCTGATCGAGCTAGAGCTTCGCGGAAAAAACGAGCGTGTTGCCCGTGACGAGAGGAAGCCGATGATACCCAATTTTAAGGTCCTAGGTCATTGGTTGACCTTCCAGGTCAGGTCAATGACCCAAAGTCGGGAAAATCGGGACCTGGTAGAAAGTCGTAAAGTGTGGCTGCTAAGGGGTTTTTCGGGGTGCTGATCACGAATATCGTGTTAGTTTTGATCACAGATGATGTCTTGAAGCATTTAGACCAGGTCGGGTCAGGTCAGGTCAGGTCAACCAGTAGGCGTCGTGACGGGTATTCGTAGTACGTGTCAACCGCCTCTGACAGCTTCGTAACATGTTACGAAGTCACCAAAACTACTTCGTAAATGTTCAAATGGTTGCTAAATTCGAATTCAGCTCCAAAAACTAGCCTAGAAACATGTAAAACTCGAAAAAGTGACCCGAGGTCACCCGAGGTCACCAAAGGTCAATGACCTGACCTGACCTTCAGGTGACCTTGACACACACGGGAGTAACATCAAATCACATGTTTGAACGTTTGAAACCACGAAAAGCTTGCAAACACGCGGCTAGTGCGAGCCGACATACGCGAAATCGCGATTCCGGCCAAACATGGTCTCGGAAAAGAGGTCACAGGTCAAAGGTCATTTAGGTCAGGGTCATGAAATTTTCAGGGTAGGTGTAAAATTGATCAATGCGAGGGTACTGAAAGTTTCGTCGCGATCGGCCGCTTTTTACGCGAGTTATTCGCGAAAAACCATGGGGGGGGGGTCCATCCGACCCCCCCCCTACACATGCGAGGGTTAATAATCGAAACGCGTCCATGCACTATTTGTTCCGTGTTTTTCTATTCTGAGCTACGAGCAATGCTAAAAGCCAAAATTCAAGCGGTAAATAACCTGCTGTTTCATGTTTAAACCTTACGATTATGGCAAATTGGAGGTTAGCCATGTTTTAGCATGTCGATGTTATTGCTGACATGAATCAATTGTGTTAGTAACATTATTGGCAAGGCAGTTTCACCTCATACCACCAATCGCCTTTTCCTTTTCAAACCGAAAATATCGATGCCACCCTTCCAAACACTCGCACACAAATCAGGACGATGGGACGCATGGGTTCTGATTCTACACTGGTAGAGGACGTGGAAAGAAATGTGATGTGCCTCAATAGGACGCACATGATCTCATTCTCGAGCCGTCACCGGTCCAATGACTCCTAACCAGGGACGAGACTAGCGGACCGGGGACAAGGGTCAATGGGAGTCCCGAGTCAGTCAATAAGAATGAAAATCTCGCACCACGGACCATTTATCACTGATGGCCGGGATCAGTTGTGGATCAGATCAAGGACCGATGACCATTGACCCTGGATCACAGACCGTGGGTCCGGACCGAGGACCATGGAATGGAGACCGTGGGCCCAGACCGACCGGCCACTGCTCTGAGCAAGGGGCTGCTGCCAACAAATCCAACAATGTTACTTATAGTTAAAGCTGCCAATGCTCGGTACTTACCGCGCCGTAGCCGGGCGCTCCAGCCGCGTAGCTCGCTGGTGGGTATCCTCCTGATGGGTATCCTCCGGACGGATAGCCTCCGCTCGACTGTAAGGCCAACGGCGGGGTCAGCGTGAGGTCACAGGCGGTGTAGGAGCGGCGAGCGGTTAACGAAGAGCAGGACAGGACTGACAGAACTGAGCGGAATTGATGCGCACAGGATTGGCAGGACTGAGAAGGACTGATGAGGGTCACAGAACTGACATAACCGCAGGTTGTTTGAAACTGAGCGGGACTGACGGGACTGGGCAGGACTGGGCAGGATTGACAAGCTTCGCACGCCCGTCAAAGGTGTCTGTATCGGCGGACAGGGATGAGAGGACACAGCGCTGTACCGAGTTACATTGCGCCCGGCAGGTGGAGATGACGCAGCGGGACCAAAAACAGTGACACAACGGCGTACACGACTGGGACAAAGGACGGCAAAACAGACGGTAATACACGGACCACTGCATCAGCATGACATGATAAAGCCGACGAAACGGACCGCAAAAATGCACGACAACCTAACACATACTTTCATCAAAACCAACCATGAAAGCCAGGTCCAACATGCAAATTGAATACCATTCCTTCGAGCAAGTTATAAACCCACGACAACACAATGCTTTGCCTCCGGTATTATGCCGTACCCAGTGCATTTAAAAACTTCTCAATCCAGTCCGTAATGTCACAATAAAAATTCTAGAACAAGCCAAAATACTACCTATCAGAAAACCGAGTCAGGGAATCAAAACTGAATAGGAATCATTGTGCGATTTGCACCTTACTTTTACATCCTTTCTCTGCTTACCATCTTCGCCTAATTTGGCCGAATCTATAGTCCTAGCCATGCGTGTCAACCCACTCTGTTTACACCCGGCGCCTAGCACGAACAGGGCGGCAGACTCGAGGCCTCACTCACCTTCATACCGGGCAGCATGGAGGCGGCCTTGCCGAGGCCGAGGCCGCCGAGCACGCCGGCCGCAGCGCCAGACGCCTTCCCGAGCAGACCTCCGCTGCCGCTGCCGCCGCCGCCCTGTCCGGCGTCCGCCCAGTCAGCGCAGCCGCAGCCGCCGCCCGGGAACCGCCCGCCCGCCCCAACCGGCCGACCCGGGACCGCCCGACAGACAGCTACAGCAGCAGTCGTTAGCTCAGCACCGTGCACAGGCAAGCGTGATAGCGTGAGACAAGAAGCAGGATGGTGAGGAAGGCGATAAAGCCGACTTAGGCATGGTGAGACGCTAAAGTCTGGTGAGGTTAGATCAGCGTAGGTTAGCTGGATGTACCTAAGATGAGGGAATGAGGAGTCAGATGAGGGACGCCGGTTTAGGCAGGACACTGGTGGGATCTAGTGAGAAGTAGTTAGTGACAAGGCGAGTGTGTGAGAGCGTGGCTAGCCAGGTGAGACCGCAGAGCACCGCATTCATGCTGCCATCTACCAAGACTGCGCCTGGTGCGGAGGGCTAGCAACTGCGCGACCCTGCGATCGGTCAGTCATGCGCTGTGCGTCGGAGAAGGCAGTGTTCAGCTCAATGTCACGCAGCGTAGCGATGGGAAGGTTACATTTGCTGCATTCGCAAAGGCAGTGAGTCTGTTACTGCCAAAAAAGCGTGCAGCAATGCCGCTGGCCCTTTCCATGATTGCTTGAGCGTAATGCTTGATTGCAGTGAAGAGGATCAGCTTTAATCATGTTTTATAATCAGGTATCCGTTATAAAGTCTAGGAAGCGAAAATTACGTTTATTTTTCATCTACGAAAGTAGCATAAATAAACCAGAAGCAGTCTAACGCCAACAGGCATTAGCATTGCTCAGAATCAAAGCATATGCGTAATTCTCTGTAAGATTTTCAGCGAAGCCCGCGACTGCGACAGGGCCAGGTCCTCTCCAATACAAGTGCAATCAAACAGATTATTACTCTTAACAGTACAGCAATACGTCTAAACGCCTAAGACGACACATAGACCGATTCGACTGTTCTACCAAATACACACAAATTACATTATTTTAAGTACAAATTATGGTTCGGCAGAAAGGTATGTAAGTTGGGTTAAGCGTGTTAGCTTAGGTACTACGGTTTTAAACATTAGACCATTAGACGCACAAGATATCCGCACAATAGGGAGCACAGAGCACACGGCACGTCGTATTGAAGATAAGTGGAGTATGCCATGAAATTATTTACCTCAACCATTAGCGGAAAGGCCGTTATCCCTAAGCATTGGACAGTGGTGAACAGTCAGTTGAATGGAACTGTGTTACTGTGAATACCAGCTATAGTATGTATCTAACGATTATCGACCTTTAACAACGTGTATATGCCTATGGAAGTACTATGTACAAAGGGCGCGGTCGATGTTGTATGCCAATTGTATAAACTCTTCCACAATTTAGATACCCATTGGACTTTATCTGCCTCATGAAGCGCTTATTTCTCGTCAACGAAAAGAGGAACGGCATGGCAGACAAAACCAAAACCATGCCCCGAAGCCCACAAAACCAAGACAGGATGGCAGTGTAGGTGAACGAGACAAAACAAATTACATGCAGGCAATCAACCAAATCGAATCAAAGGCATGCACGGATCACATATTGACGTCTACAACCAAATTAAAAATGCAGACAAAGAATTGATACTAAACCCCAGCCGACGCCTGGGGCGCGGCACGTCCAAAGCAGAGCAGCCAACTACTGTAACGTAACGAGTAAGAGCTGCGCACCCCTTTCCCCTCCCCCTCTCTCCCGGCAGGCCGGCCGGCGGTCCCGGGCGCGGCTAGAAGCTTACGTGGGGCGGGTAGGGGCCCGGGCCGGCGGCCGAGTAGGGCGGCGGCGGACCGTAGCCCCCGGGCGGAGCGCCGTACGGACTGGGCGGTGCGCCGTACGGACTGGGCTGCGCGCCGTAGCCGCCCGGCGGGGCGCCGTACGGCTGCTGCTGGCCGCCGTACGGCGGCTGCTGCTGGCCGCCGTAGCCCGGGGTCGGCGAGGGCATGAAGCCGCCAGCGGGCGCGCCGCCCTCGAAGCCCAGCAGAGAGACGTAGACGTCTCCGTCCATGGTCAGGTAGGTGGCGTTCTGCGGCGACATGCGGTGACGGAACTCGCAGAAGTGCTGGCCGTTCACAGCGATCTGACGGAGGAAGGTGAATGTCACGGCGACGGAGGACGGTGGTAAACCACACTTCCGCCAAAAAGGTCGGCAAAATCCACGAACAAAACAAAGGCACGGCAATGCAGCTCCCAATCAAACAGAAGCTCAAGTCTGCCTGAACAGTGAACACCCAACCGTGCCTAAAACATTGCACCTCCTCATCCACCAAAAATGTGACCTAGTGTAAAGCTCGCTCTAAGATATCGTTATTACCTATCAGTACATATCTAGCCGTCCGGTCCAGCTTATCGGCCCCCACCAACTTTCCACATTTCACCTGTCCCTATTCGCTGCCTTACACGCACCTTATACTCTGACTGCTCGCAGAGAATCAGCATCTCGAAGTTGACGCCGCGCTGCAGCGGCATGAAGTTCGGTTGGCGCTCCTCGTCTCCCCAGCTCTGATAGATGAGCGAGTTGCGCACAATGCAGTTCTCGTCAAAGCGCGGGTTTATGTGCAGGGCGATGTCGTCTCGCGGGTTCACGTTCGGGCCCACCTGCAGGTTGATTGCGAACCTACCGTGTCGCAGGTCAGAGGTCAGATGTCAGAGGTTAGATACAGATGTCACAGTGGGCATTATGTGCCAATAATAAACTGCTACACTGGCATCCAGTTGTATCTGGAATTTTACTGGTCACTTCGACATGTGATGGCTTAATATCGGCCCGTCTTGGACTTAGGATAACAGCTAACAGTTTACAGATTGTCACTGATCAGACATGGTGCCAACTGCCAGCAGCAGTTACAATGGACCCCTAGAATATAGAGTTCAAGTGTGTCCAATGAGCATCACCTGATGACCCAAAGACATGTGTGATGCTGAGGTCAACTGAGATGATGAAGTGCCTGGGCTGATCGTCATTGATCATCAGCGTTGACCACTGCCCTCCAAAGGTAGCCTGCGCCGCACCAAATGTGCCTTCCCCGACCTCAGACCACTTACCTAGACGCGTTGGGTTGTGGGCACGCCTGGATGCGGATCATACGGCCGGGCGTCAGCGGCCCGCCCGGGATCGGCTCAGAATAGGGCATTCGCTGTGGGGAGGCAGACAAAGTGTCACACTCACAGAGGGACTGACTGTCAGACAATGACATAGATACATTTACAGCAGTGCTGGGGCCGTTAGGGCCCCAGTATGCATCGACTCATTAGCACTTTTGCACACTAACAAGATATCAAATGGATTACATACAAGCAATTTCTTAAACAGGCTTAAAAAATTTGACTACCATTTTCAAACTCAATTCCAAAAACAGACCATTCATTCAGCTGAAATAAAATGTCAATAAAGCCCCAGCCACCATCGCCATTTATTGAGCAGGATCCTTACCGGATTGTATACAGGTGCAGCCATTTTGGTGTCAAAGGTGGCAGACTGCAGATGCTTCCGGAAACACTCAGGATATTTTCTTATAACTGTTGGAAGGTAACTACTGCAATCTCCTGAAAGAAAAAAGTTTGAGGTTATAAGCAAGCTTCTTTCAGAGGGTTACATCATGCTTTGGCTATGTCTAGATACTTGACATACATTCAAAAAAGTTTCTAGTGTGTGTTTCAGTCAGCTATATTATGGTGCACAAGCACAAGCAATATCAGACACTAGACAGTTTACAATCATCAATAAACATAGAGATTCTTACAATCTGTAGGACGTAGTCCCGGTAGTCCCATACTGTGAAGCATGACAAAATTGTGAGATACCAGGCCCAGGGCAGAGGCATTCAGCTAGTGCAAGGTGAGCTCAGAGCTGTAAATTAACTGTGCTGTGGTGCGGATTGGAGTGGTGTGAGCCCCAGCATAATGTCGGCTCCCCTCAGTTCCGCCGACATTGAGCGTCTAGACTCGCGACAGGCTTCGCTGATCAAGGCAGCGCTGGGTCTGCCGCGTTCTGCGCACCATACGGCTCTTTTGATTGCTGCTGGGGTGCCTCGCATCGGTGAGGTGCTGCGAGGTGATGCCCTCCGCGCATTCCGTAATGCTTTCCGCGCTGACCACCGTCTTCGCCAAGCCTACGTCACTGGACTGGCCAGACTTGCTACGTACCCCGAGCAGTTGTATGGGTCGTTTATTGGCCACGTGTATAATCTGTGTGGTGGGAATTTCGGCGCTATCATGCACATCGCTGCTGGGTACGTCCAAGGCCCTAAATACACGGGTACGTCGATCACGACATAGTCCGGGCACCACTCCAAGAAAGCGGTCTTATAGGCAGTTTGAAGATGGTTTTGGCAAGCAACTGTCAGGCCTCGCGGCGCCTGTTAAGACTACTAACCTCCTGAGTGCTGAATAACTGTGTGTGTGGGTGGGTGGGTGGGTGGGTGGGGGGTGGGGGGTATGTATCTTTTTGTCGCATGACGATGCTGAATAAACAATAATAATAATAATCATAATACAACGGCAAACTGTTGTGAGGCAGCATCTTTGTCCAAGAAAATGATATATAGGAGACACAACTGGACTACCTGACTTTTTGTTGCAGTTCTTCACATAACAAGTAAGTAAAAATTGCATTTTTGATAAAAACTATTCCTTATCCCTAACCAACCTCACTGTCTCTCTTGAAGGTATTGACTATTGTGGATCAGTTCATCAGATCCAACAAGCCCAACTGATGGGAGGCTGCTAGAAATTAGAATTGAGTCACCAAAACAATTGCATCCACATCAACATGAGTTCCCCAGTTTAACTGGCGCATGAAACTTTCAAGAGACTGGAAGACTGTACAAGCCTGACATGATTTTCTTGAATTACAATGCACCAAACAGCAGCCCAGTACTGATCTATGGCATAGGTACTGGTCACTAGTGTAGTTAGTACCAAGATGCGGCAGGCACTGCTTCATGCAAAATCCACATAACGAAGTTAGAAGTCAGCACTCCACCATACACTACCTCAAGTCTTATGTGCCAACATATTTTTTCAAGATTCCTAGGTGTTACATTTTGGTAGAGAGGTAACTCAAACTAGGGAACATTCTAGAAGATTTACTGTGCGTTTAGATGGACCGGTTTTTGTGAAATTTCTATATTGAGAAATTCCTCATACAAATGGCTTTCGGGCAGGCCCATTTAGCGGGATCTTGCTATCCCTTACGTTTCACACTGCCTAAACGGCTGTTTTCATGAGGGATTCCTCGGCATGGAAATTCCATGTGAAAAATGCCTGTCTGAATGAATCAAAACCAAGAAAGCCAGGATGATATAGGCCTTGCTGAAGGGATACCAATAAATCGACCTTACGCATTGATTTGAAATTCAAATTATAATTATCAATTCATGCAAATACCAGAGTGACAAGCCTGTAGTCAATGGCTTGACTTTTTTTTTGCCTTTTCCGCATAACTACCATTCGAAGCAGGATACACACAAATGACGGCAAATTTGCACTCAACTTGTATAAAAAGTTCTTTTCTTACCTTATTTTGGTTTCCCTCCTCGAAAATATTCTATACTGATACACGAACCAACGGTATTAGTATATATTAGGTCCGAGTGGACAATTGTGACGCTATTGATACAAATATGTAACAGCAAAAATTTTAGGTTTTAGGTTAGGTTAGGTTGTAGGTTTGTAGGTTTTAGGTTTTAGGTTGTAGGTTTGTAGGTTAGGTTAGGTTAGGTTGTAGGTTTGTAGGTTGTAGGTTGGTAGGTTGTAGGTAAATAGGTAAGGTTAGGTCAGGTTTGATTGTTTTTCTTTTATTTCCAGAGCCCTGTTCAAGTGCTCTGCGGCCGCCGCGGCTCCCGCGGCCGGGAGGCGGAGCCTAATATCGGTTAGGTTGAACACCTTCGCGGCTGCGGCCGCTGCGGCCGGCGACGAGAATGGCACGGTTGTTTTGAAAGGAGATGCTGATCAAAATTTTGTGCGTAATTGCTTTATAATGGCTTTATTACTTCAATTAGTACCTTTTTAAAGCAATTATTCCTTAACAACATAATAAAATCAACCGAAACAAAGAGCGAAATCCGAGCGCTGTTCGGCGGCCGGCTAGCGCGCTAGCCCGCGCACACATACGTGCACGTTGCCCCGGCAACGGGCTATTGACCAATGAGAAGCGCGCTACGGGGGGCACAGGTATATGAAAAATCGCAGTGACGTTGCACTTTCCTCGCTTCTCATTGGTCAATAGCCCGTTGCCGGGGCAACCAGCACGTATGTGAGCGCCGGCAAGAGTACTAGCCGGCCGCCGATCAGATCAGGCAATGTTTTGTCTCACGCGCACAGTTTATGTCGAAGTTTCCCTGCGGTCGCTCCCGAGCGACCGCGGGAGCCGCAGGAAGAGCTACGCATTACCCAGAATGCTGCTCTCGCCTGATTGGCCGCCTGCTGAGCTCCGCCTTTTTGGCCGCGGGAGCCGCGGCGGCCGCGGACACTTGAACAGGGCCCAGGACATATAAGTATCATTTTTGGATTCAGGATGTCAAATAATGTAAGGTCACTCGGACTTAATGTATACTTTTACCGAACCAACTCCCAGACCCGCCCCGCTATTGCGTTTTGGTTTGTGGTTGCGAAACGCCAGAATCCCACAGAATCCGTTAGTCATCTTTTGTCACTTACACGCCATACTTGTAGAACATGCAGCGCTAAAGTACTGCAATATTTTGTTACCAAGAGTTGGCAGGCAGACTAACCCCGCGTTCGATGTCTTTCGGACGACGAAGATTCTACCGGTCCGGCCAATCCCGTCCAAGGTCAGCGGGGGCTCGGCTACGGTTATAGAACGTGATTGGCCGGACGGCGTAGAATCTTCATCGTCCGAGAGACGTCGAACGCGGGGTAAACCTCGCGACCGAAAAATTGTAGTCAACTAGCCTAAGACATTGACATTGCAGGTGTTGCTGGATGCTGGGTCCCACGTTTAACTGTAGACGGCTGTGCATCTGAAGTCTTAGCAGGGTCCGCCCGTTTTCTCGCAAATCAATTTGATTTGATGAGCACTCAGCACTGGTCCGGGCGCGATGCAGTCTATTTCTCGAAAATAATTAAGTACCATCGTCCATTCCTATTTCCTACTGCCCTTTCCAGAGTAAAACCAACCACTATCTTCAACAAGTGTATTGATTCACTGCAACACCAGAATCCGATTATAAGCTTTCTGAGGAAAAGAAGAATACCACAAGACAGGTGTGAGACCACAACAGCGACGGCGTCAAATTAGTGCCGCCTCTCCAGCCGAACCCCTGACAGCGATTTCAGACATAGTTTGGAGACAAATGGGATAAATATTTCCAGCATATTAAAAATAAAACAGCTCTGCTGCGGCCGCCGGCGCCCGGCAGACGGCCGCCGCCGCTCGGGACACCGACTCTAGATGTCGTCGATGTCGATGTCCTCGTGGCCTTCCTCCTCTGCCGGCTCGGCGGCCGTTTTGGTGGCCGGCGCCGGCGCCGCCTTCTCCACCTTGATCTCGCGCGCGCGGTCGTCGTAGGTGATCTCGACGTCGTCCTCCTCGGACTCCGAGTCGGACTCCTCCTCGGCCTCGCGCAGCCACGTGATGAACGGCGCCGCGCGCGTGTGCATCTCCTCACTGAGCTCGCGGCTCACGTACTTCTTGCTGGGCTTCTTGGCCCACTCGAGCAGCACCTCCTCATCCAGCACGTCCAAGTCGTACAGCCTCTGCGGGAACAGCGCCAACGTCAGCGTCAACAGCGTCACCATTAGCGTCACCAGCAGCTCCACTAGTGATTTCAATGAGAACAAATCGTGTTTACTGTTTCGTATGGAATCCAGCGACCACGCCTGACAGATTTAACGCCACATCAAACTGTACAGTTTTACAATCTACTCCACCGGGGAGAGCAAACGGACAGAACAATCAACGAAAAACGACCCAGTCTCACCTCAGGCTTGAAAGTCTCACTATTCAGCAAAAAAAAAAAAAAAATACTATTGACAGCCACCATGCCAATCATCTGCCTTTTGACAGCACATACTCTTCCACAACCCAATATGGCCCCACCTTTCTCCCGCCAGCGCCCCCCCCCCCCGCGCCGGTCGGTAGGTCGGTTACGTTACGCACCTTAAGGATGTGCGGCACCTTGGGGAGCAGCTGGTCCTTGTACAGGTTGATGACCTGCTCCATGCCGCCCACCAGGTACTTCTGTGCCTTCTTGTTCTCGTGCGTGAATCTGGCGGAGGGAGTGGACCAGTCAGTATCACAAGTCGTCTTCATCTTGCTGCACATGTAATGATAATATACCAGCAAAATGCAACAGCCATTGGATAAATAAGACGCGAGGCGGCGAGATCGACCAAGTGACGGGATATAATGCCGCATTTTCGTACTCGAGACGTCGCACCGTAAGTGCTCAAAGGGCGCACCAACTCACTGCTTTGACAGTTCAGCGCCCCGCTCGGCTCGAAACATAGCAATATTATCCGCAACACCACTTCGTCATACCCAAAGTCATGCCACTCAGAAAGCTAGCATGTCCGCCTCTGTCCTGCTGCAGCTATGAGGGTCTCGTATGAGGAGCAGGACGCCGCACTGGGCTCAGGGTCTGAGAAGCACGAGCTGACTCAGGGCCTCACCTGAGGAGCAGGACGCGGTACTGGGTGATCTGGCTGATGATGGCGTCGTTGAACAGCAGCTCGGACAGCACCAGCGGCGCCTTGTCCTTGACGTCCAGCCGCTCGGCCTCGGCCAGGACGCTCTTCTCGTGGCCGGTGAGCTGGCCGGCGTCGCGCCGCTGTAGCACGTACTTGTAGAAGATCTCCAGTCGGTCCTGGAAACGCAGATCACCCTCAGTCGACCGCCAAAGACCGGAAGAATCGGCACATCATGCGTAACTCAACGGTATCAGAACGGCTTTAATGTGAACAGAGGGCAATAAGCTCTGCAATCTAGAAAAGGTTCAATGATAAAGCACCGCAACTTTCAAGCTAACAAACAGTGCCTCAAACAGGCCGTTACAAAATTATAGCCTATGTAGCCCGCGAAACGTCTCATCAAAACCAACCTATTTCAAATGGGCGCTCCTATTCGAATTCGAGCCAATCTGACTGGCAGATTTTCAGAGTGAGGGTGGTTGATGAGCCAGGGCCGACCGGGCATTGACACCGCTGTGTCACAAAGGCAGGGTGAACGGGGATCGGGCCGGCACGAACGGAAGGCCACAGTGCGCGTCGCGGGTCCGGCGCGGGCGGGCAGCCGTTCCACTGTGATGGTGGTCCTAGCACACGATCCCAGCGGAGTGGCCGCCAGCCCGCGCCGGCAGAGCGGTGCTCGCGGCCGGCCGGGGTGGGGCGGGGTGGGAGCGCACCTTTTCCGCCTTCTCGAGGTCGTCGTTGATGGTGAGCCCCTTGACGCCGTCTGTGAGCTCTGCTTGTCGCCGCTGAACGGCCTCCTCCGACACGTCCACCGACCAGTCGTCGTCCAGCTCCGGCTGAAACACATCAGTCACAGTCAGTCTACACAGATTAACGCAAGCATAGGGCCACCATATGGCTAAACACACATGTGGGTGTAGGCCCAGTAGAGAGCAAACAACACTGTGACTGCCTCCAAAACACGACCTCATAAAGAAGGTGCTAAATTATAAATGGTGATGAAAACATACTGGAACCCAAAAAAGTATCATGACTGAAAACCCCTAATCTTTTGTTCACAAATCCGTCATCAAGAGGGGACAGGGGTACGGCGGCGGCAATGGTGGTGTGTCACTTGTAACAGCAGTGACCGTGAGGACAGCTGGAGTGGCGGAGGGTGAAGGAATGGAGCTACGTGTCACCGACCTTGGCGGGCGCGTCCGTGGACCATCCCTCCAGCTGATCGTCGCCGTCCTCCGAGTGGTCGCTGCCCTTGTCCTCGCCGTTCGACTTGCCCTTCTTACCCTTCTTGGCCTGAGAACGGTGTCACAAGGGGAGAGTCAGCGATGGGCCGATCGGACCAGGACGTGGGAACAGGGCGGCAGCCGGGGAGAGTTAGAGGTGCGCAGACCGGGACAGGTGGATACAGGACAGCCGGGCGAGTCGGTCGCTAGTGGTTGCCACTAGGGTCGCTGCAGTTCTTGAAGGTCAACTACTGATAGAAAATAATGGCTAAACAATCATACTTTTATGACAGAGCGTCGTCGATTCAGCAAATGATTGAGATGACGAACAACAGGCAATCGACAAACAGCACGGTCAGTCTCGAAACAGATAATTTCCCTTCAGCTTCACTGACATCAAGTACAAGCCAACTTACGATAAAACAAAGATAGCTGCCACTCCACCCCACCCAACCTACCCCCATCAGGTCACAACACAGCCCCTTGGCCGCCAGCACCTACCGCCTTTTTGGTGAGCGACTTCCCGGCAGCGTTGGGGTCAGCGTCGGGCGGGTTCTTCAGGATGAACGTGGTCAGCTTGTGGCGCATGTCCAGCATACCCTGGTAGCCGCACGCCTTGCACGACTGGCCGATCACACCCTTCTTCTCGCGAACCTGAACGAATGTAGAGGGAAAGGAGAAGTTAGACACGGGGTCCTCCGCGCACTGGCACCTGAGCTGCAGTGGGGTGATGAGTGATACAGCTGGACTTTCTAGCGTACTTCTAAAGCCAATCCATCATTTGGGTGGCTCTCTTAGAAAGAGACAAAATCACAATCAAATCTTGACTCGCCGCCCAAGCCCCATCTGTTCCCGATGCCTCCCTCCACCACCCTGCTCTCCCTCCTCCCCGGGCGACGACTGGCTGCCCCGCACAAACCTGCAGCACCGTCTCCGGGTTGTCGCAGCTCGGACACAGCACAAACTTGCGGATGAAGCCGTCCAACATCTCCTGCAGCTTGGACGCGTCGTGCGCGCCGTTCACGATGTAGCGGTCGTTCTTGGCGTCCATCAGCGTCTGGGCTCCCAGCTCACAGCCAAAGTACTTGCACGGGTCTGCCAACGGGGGTCACAGGTGTAAGGTAAGCAGCGTGGACACATGAGGGTCAGGAATGAAGGGAGAGCATACGCGAGCGGCCCAATCGACCGCCAACGCACCAGCGTATATCCTCCGTGCATGATCGATATCCATTATCAAATCGTCCGAATGGGAGTATCTACAGTGAGTGGCACGCCAAATGGTGTGCGTGACTGGTATCTGAATACTGTTCATCCAATCGTCCACAGGTATGTAATTGGCTGCCTACCTCCTAGATACAAGGGCATGTCATAACTAATCGCTGCTTCTCAGAACGCCCGTCTGGGCGACATTATCCACTGGGAGCTTTACATATACACTCCTCCCTCTCTATAATCCCCTCCCTCAGCCAACTACCTACCGGCTCTCTACGCCGCCGCTCTCTCGTCAGCCCCCTCCTCCCAGCAAACCCCTCCGTCCTCTAGCGCGCCACCCGAGGTACTTACAGGAGGGCGGGCGACAGAGTGCCTTGGCCACCTCACTCATGTTCACCACCACCGTCTTGATGCCGTTTCCCTTGCCCTCGACCTTGGCCAAGAGGCGCGGCATCTTGTAGCGGTAGAAGACATCGGTGACGCTGGTGTTGACGTTGAGCGCCATGGTTTGGGCGGCGTGGCGGCGGCGTCGGTAGGCGGCTGGTGTTCAGGACTGAGTCGGCTCCGGCGGCGAGTCACGAGACGGTCAAAGATGGCCAGTGGCCGAGTCGAGCTATCTGCTCAGAGATGTTCAGACTGCTCCTGCTGGAATACCGCGCACGGATCGGGTCAGACGGGTCTGGGGAGGGCAGGGCCTAGTCGGATCAGAGTGGGAGAGAGCGGGTCCAGCACAGTCTAATAAGTTTCTGGCGCTCCATTCATCAGTTTCAGGCCTACCCATATCCGACATACCGACCGTAGCAAATCAGTTCCTCAGCAATCACTAAAAATGCAGTGGTATTCGAATACGTTAGCATTCATTCAGCTGGAACATCAGTTTTCCTGCCAATTGATGCCTTAGTGCACGTCGACTGCAGAACAGAGGCCGTTTCGCGCTCATAGCAATAGAAACATTAAAAACCAATATCAAGGCAGCATCATTTATCACTGGCTCATCGATGCTGTTTTCTACCTACATACGAGATCCGTAGATCATCGTAGATCCATCTACATCGTCTACATCTACACTGTAGATCCATCTCTGGCACTATCGTTAACGGCTATGTCAGAATGTGGTGCTGCGACGAGGACGATAGTCAATCCGACGCCCAGAAACACCACCCTCTGCCGTACAGCTGCTGTCGCATCATTTTGCGTCGATCCGGCGCACGGCGCGACCGGACCGCCTTGAACAGATGCATACGGACGGGACGGAGAGGGATGGACTCACCGTTGGCTGGGTCGGTCACGAAGACGGGAGGCCGGTGACATACACCCGACTGGAGCGCGCCCGACTGGGTCGGCAGTGTCAACCGATAACTGGCCCTGCAACTGCCTTCGACCTGCCGACACACAGACAAAGGGGCGACGGGTTAGCTAATAGAATATTGTCAGTCACAACCGATAACTGGCCCTGCAACTGCCTTCGACCTGTGGACATACAAACACACGGCGGGTCAGTTTCAGCAGTGTCAGTCAAAACCGATAACTGACCCTGCAACTGCCTTCGACCTGGGGACATACAAACAAAGGGGCGACGGGTTAGCTTGCAGAATATTGTCAGCCGCAACCGATAACTGGCCCTGCAACTGCCTTCGACCTGCCGACACGCTAACAAAGCGGTGGCTGGTTAGTTTCAGCAGTCAGTCACAACTCACAACCGATAACTCATGGCCCTGCAACTGCCTTCGACCTGCGGACACAAGGACAATGGGGCGGCTGGTTAGCTTCAGCAGGTCACTCGGGACAAGGGAAGAGGACGAAGCAGCCATATTCGTACGGGGGAAGTGAACAGGGACAGCCTGCCTGGAGGAAGGCAGGTTTAGTGAAGAGGGGAAGGGCGAGGGGAGGAGAGCAATTCAGACTGAGCGCCTGGAATTCTGCCGCCGTCAGCGCTGCCCGCGGCTACGGCAGCGGAGCCGCCGGTATCCGGCCGGCCGGGGACAGTCACATATCGGCCCGAGCGGCGACCCACGTGGGTGCGGCGACTGCTCGTCCAAAGGTCAGGGACACCGGCTCGTGGACGCCTGACATGAGCGGTGGGATCCACCCCGCGCCATGACAGTGTTTGTCGAACCGGTGGGCAGAGCTTACATATGCGATAGTGTGCGGACAGCTGCACTACCACAGCTGCGCAAAAAGGAACGGGGGACTGAGGTTAACGGGACCAGCGCCATGGCTAATACAATGAGCGTATCGTGAGGTTTGGTTTAGATTGAACCACTGATAGCAGTGTAGAAACAGTTGCACCGTATTTCAACATTACGAGCATCATGCATACATATATTTCGATGATGCAGTGTAACAGCGACAGGGAAACATCCATGTTCTTTTAGGGCTATCTAACAAATTTTGTCCATAGAACTGACTTACAATATGAATATATCAACATAACTATGTAGATAAACCGCTAGCTCGACTAGATATATCGATGGCTCCACCATGTACCAAAAGGCAAAGTGCATGACCCAAAAGACCACTCGGATGGAGCCGCACCTGACCGCTACGCCGACCTCTATTTACCATTAGCTCGGCCGCGGCCTGTGCCATACAGCCGCGCCGGTACCTGGGGCCGGCCGTCCCGCCCAGCAGATCGACCGCCCGCTCTCCGTCCATTATTGGATGCCGGCGGACACGGTAGCACCCAGACAATCTAGTTAGGCAATGGTCCCGGGCGGGGGGCGCACTGCGCCGGAGCCGACGCCGCTCAGAGAGCAATACACGCCTCTTCACATCTACCCGGACTCGACAGTCGGCGCACGCGTGCCAATACGTGCCGCGGACGGCGTCGAGCGCGACAATGACTCACTGGTGTAAAAAGCCCGGCGCTGGCACGAACAGACACGACGGCTGCCGTCAAACAGGTCGATGCGGAGACCGACATGAGGTGCAGGTCCGTGTTTACGGCCGGCAAGTGGAGTTGACAGTAATTTGTGTGCTCCGTGTACACCACCGACGAGCATTTAGAGATATTGCCAGCAGGCAAACGGTCAAGGACACCCAATGAAACACGGTGATGATTTGAAGCTGAGGGGTTGCGCAGCAAGAATGGGTAAACAACGATAAAATTCCACTATTTGATGGAAAATATTTCATTCGAGCCTAGCAAAGGTTACCCTCTTGTAAGAAACTGTCTTCATGCGCAAACTTTGCACGCTCATTACTCATATCAAAACAGCCAAGCCCCCAAATATCTGTCATTCCTTTAGGAGACATCGAGTATGCAGCGGTGGTCGGGCCAGTTCTACCACTCTCGCCCGGTCAATGCGACAGCGCCTGTCTGTCACCGGCGGGCGCGGCCAAACCGGTCCCAGCCGAGCCGGGGGTGACGGGCCGCCACAGACCACGTGACGGGAGCGTGGCGGACGGCCGGGGCGGCGGCAGGGCTGAACCACAGAAAATTGCGGATGTGGATGACTGCGACTCACGGCCAGAGGGTGGGAATTAGAATTACAGCGCAGGCTCTAAACCCGGAGTCGCAGAGGCCTAGTTCAGATGCGAGATCACGCCACTGAAGCCTGGGTCTTTCACTTTCACCACCGATTTACGAAACATCCCATGCAAAAAAAAAAAAACACTCAGTTACATTGCATAAATAAGAAGCACAGCTACGCATTCGGCACCCACCAATGACGACCATCTCCGTTTTCCCGCTCATGACTAGCCCGGCGGTCCTCTCATGGGTAGCGTGTCGCCCCACCCCTCTCCGCGTCATCTGTCCGCCGGCCGGCGCTCCATCACTCGGTCACGGTACCGTCTGGAGGCCCGCCGGCCGGCCAGTCAGTCAGTCGGCCGGTCAGCTGCTCGATCGATGACGGCCGGTCGGGGCGCGGCAGCGGTGGTAGCGGTGGCGCAGTACCGGTCCGTCTCTAGGCACCCGCAGCCGTCCACAGAACGGGAGGCCCACATAGCACCACGGGCCGCCCATTTGGCCGGGGGCTACCATACGGCGCCACGGGCCGGCAGGCGTCCATAGGCCGGGGCTAACACACAGCACCACGGGCCGGTAGCCGTCCAGTCTGTCTGGAGTCTCCACGGCGCCACGGCAGGCCGGCAGCTGTCCACAGTCCGGCGGCTCCCATGCGGTGCCACGGGCCGGGGCCGCCTCTCATGACGCGGCGGTTTGCCGGCTGTTTCGCAATGTCTCCTCGGAATCGAACGGCGCAACGGCTGGGCAGGCAGGCCGATCTCCGAGAATGGACGACCAGAGACCACCCATCGGCGCCTCCCGAGACAGCGGCCAGACCACCGGGCCACCCAAACAGGCCTCTGACAATCCCGAACGATGACGACGCAGACTCTGATAATATGACTTTCCAGACTAGGATCAGATCAGCTATTTGCCGTAACCCAAAGACAACCGTGTGAGGACCCCGTAATGGATCTGCACTATAAAAAGATAAATAAAAAGGGATCACAGCGATAACACCATACCCAACATGTTTCGGAGTGTCTAGGGATGAAAAAACCTCTGGAGCCGTCAGTGTCAGGCCGGAACAGGAAACGTAACACCACCATTCATTCGGTCCATCAGTCGATACCAGCGGGCTGTGTGCGGCGATAAACGGTGTCATTACCGGAGGTCGGCCACATGAACCGACCGCCACGTGGGCCGAGCCCGCTCATGACACGTCACCCAGCAGGCGCAGCCCGCCAGACGTATAACCAGTCACAACAGGAAATGCGCAGCTTACAGTGCAGCCCGTGCTCTTGATAGGCTGGCCCGGCATCATACGGCGTATGGTCACCGCACTCCCCTATCGCAATCAAGCCTGTCATCTCCGCCGGACCGCCCCAGATAACATTGTGCCGTCTAGACAAATGGATGACCTTGTCCGTGAAGCGGCTTGAAACCTGTTGCGCGGCAGGCCGTCGGCGGCGGCCTGAGCCCGTATTGATCGGTCGCCACCGGGAGGCCATATGGCAGGTCGAACGTCAGCAGGAGCCGCTGAACGAGAGCGTTCAGCGCTATCACGTGAGCGGCAGGGCGAGCGCCACGCGACGCCAGCGCCGGCCGGCCGTGAGGATCCAGTAATCTCACCGCACCGGAGGCAGAACAGAGCTGAGACAGAACAGCCGCCGAGGCTGGTCGAAAGCGGGACGAGGTGCTCCGTTGCATGCATGCAAACAGCCGACCGAACGGTACACAGGGGGGGGGGGGGAGAGCGAGATGGAGAGCGAGTGAGAGAGAGGAGATAGGCGCGCCGCACTCACCGCGCTCGGCTGCCACCATGAACGCCAGCGTGGCCAGCGGCCTCGCTCGGCTCGTGTCTCGGCACTGGGCAGGCCGCCGCCGTCGTCCCTCCAGCCGCGCCTCAGACGACGCCCGGCGCTCCGCTACTGAGTCCGCCGGCAGCGACGGCACGCCGCCGCTCGATACAGGGGCGCCGCGCCGCGCGCGCGCGCGCCGACACCGCCTACGGGCCGTCGAGAATAGCCGGCGACCGGAACTGGAGACCGGCGTCGGAGCCGGAGCCGAGGCGGGCGGGAGGCGCCGGGCCCGTGCACCCCACGCCCGCCCACAGAACGCCGACGGAAGTCTGGAGTCGGGTGCACTTAGAGCACTTCGGTAAAGCGGCTTCCCTTCAGGAGGCGTCCCGTCCAGGAGATGCACCGCTGCCCTTCTGACACCCTCAGACTCCCGACACAGGAAACCCTACGACGGTGAGCAGTGAACACTGCCACAGAGGAGTTCGGAAAGCCGGACAGTGGGCACTCCTTGGTACTGGACTACCGAGCTCCTTGGACTACTGGACTACAGAGCTCCTTGGTGCTGGACTACAGAGATTTAGAGGACCAGCTCAAAGCTCCACAATGCACAGGCTTCGAAAATAAACACCTGGATAACCTTTCTCAGGCTGGCAGATTACTCACCTATCTATCAACTGAGATCCCGAAATGATAAGAACAATGACCTCAGGAGACTGGCAAAATGTTGAACGCCTTCCAGCTCCAAATCTCGCGACATATTCTAGATAAAATCAATCACTGCATATGAAGGCAGGACCAATAAATGAGAAGATCCTCAATATGAAACAGTCAGGATATCCACTTTCGTAACGAGGCGTCCCCATCGCAGTCCTGGAACCTAGCCAGTGACCTTCCCTCAAAAGATCTGTCTGAGCTCAGAAACAAAGGAACAGGGAACCAGACTGGTCATACTCAACCTCGACCTTACCCTGAAGATGACTGCATACAGAAGCACAATAAGAACACAGCAGTATCACAGTTCTGAGCCACAGGAGCACGGCTCGGAGCACCAGGAGCACAGCTCGGAGCACCAGGAGCACAGCTCGGAGCACCAGGAGCGGGACAGCCGGCAGTCACTGCCGCCGGCGGCGGCGACACCCGCCGACTGCCAGGCCGTCACCTGAAGGGAAGCCCTGTCGGACCAGCCCCGCCCCGCGAGCGACAGCGCGAGGGGAGCGGATCAGGCCGGGTGAGATGGGGTGGCGTCAGGCATGCTCATAGGAGCCGAGAGTATGCATCAGATGCCGCGGTTCCGATACAACGGAAAACAAATACATACTATGTCACACGAAACGAATCCCGTTGACTGAGTGCTAAGAAGCTGGCTCATTCAGAGATAAAATTATCACCCGTCAACCGTACCAAATCCCGATCACAACTGGATTTTTACAGCATCTAACATATAGGGAGGAAGTTCCGTAAGCCCCCCCCGCCGTTCGGCCCCTAAAAGCTCCAAAAACTACCCTTACACACGTTCAACTCGAAAAAGTGAGCCAAGGCCAATGACCTTGACCTAACCTTCACTTGACGCCCACCATCATGTATAGAACAAAATCATTTCACATGTTGAAACGTTTAAAACCACAAAAATATTGGAAACGCATGTACAATGCGTGTATAATGCGCACTAACCTACCCCTACGCCGAATCGCGATTCCGATATGACATGGTTTCGAGAAACAGGTCACAGGTCAAAGGTCATTCGGGTCGGTGTCATGAAATTTTCAGGGCAGGCGTAAGATCTAACAGCTCGAGGGTACTGAGAGTTTCGTCACGTAGCGCGAGTTATTTGCGAAATACCGAGGTGGGGGTTTGTTCGAATCACCTGAGGGTTGAGTTGGAATTGCAGCGCCAGTTTAGTATCTTTTATTGAAAATAAAACCAATTTGAGGGATATAGCGAGCTCCTAACAGTGAAATACCAACCAAATGATGGTATTATCTTCCCTTAATTGGGAATGTGTGCAGCAAATTTTGACCAGATGCAACTGTCTCTTATCCAGCAGCCCAAGAATATACAGCTGAAGAAATTCCAACCATGTAATGACATTTTTCTCATCCAAGAATGTCAAACATACATTTAGTGTAGTGCATCAGAGTAAATTCCAGCCATTAGATGAAATTCCTCCCCCTAGCCAGAAATGTATACATACACCAGGCCTTCATGTCCATTTAGGAAAAGTAAAAAGTCAATTTAGCAAAAGTAAACATCTCTATTCTATTACTCATTTATTTACATTTACAACTTTGGATTGGAAACATTCAATATTTTCATCCACATATAGGAAACATTCAATATTTTCATCCACATATCAATATGGCTTCAGAATAAATCTATATCCCTCTCTCATGTATCCATGATTAGGCAATGGCCACTTATCTATGATATTTCACAGGTAACAAGCCTATTACCTGTAGGAGTGGGCCATAATAACTTATCTAAGCTAAATGGTATAGAGAAAAACTAAACTAAATTGAATGTCTAGTTTGATATAAATGTGACTAATGCTGGTATGTAGTAATTGAGAGGGCATATCAGTGGGCTGTTCACATAGATTTTCTACCAGAAATCAGCAATTTCTCCTATTTATTGAGGTCATCAAGATGTGGACAAGCACCAGCTACTAGCAACATGTTGAAAAGCTGACACCAAACAACACTTCAGGCCCTATCCTATGTCATAAATGGGATTTGATCTGGCAGCACTGGTTAAGATCAGCTACATCAAAATGAAGTTGCTGCTAAATGGTGAATGATTTGCCATCAGTTCAGTCTATCTGATTCCAATGTCCCAAAATTTGTCTATTTGGGTGGGGAACGACATCCAAATGAAATTCATTTTCCACTCTCACCACCATTTTTAAGAACAATTTTCCACTCCCAAGTCCCAACCAAGAAAACATAGATTTTTTACCTATAGAAAGACAGTTGTGTGGATGCCCAGTTAGCATCAAACATTCTACACCCTAGAATAAAATGCATGCTTTTTGTCATTTCTCACTCCTTTTTGATCTAATCGAATCAGCAGTTTTCCACTCTCTCCCCTCTTTTTGGTGGGTAATCAGTCGGGCGCACTGTGGTATCTCCGATTCATTTATGGAGACGTTTCTATTATTGGAAACGTTTCCAATTTTGACTACTCTTCTGTTCCAAAAATGGAAACGCTCGTTCCCTAAATAGAAACGCTAACATCTCCGCACATATTTTCTTGCCAAGGGTGGCTGGATTCGATGTATAACAACTGTTTCGCGTAAAACAAGCTCAGATACACCAAAAGCACTTGTCTTCTTGCATGGAAAGCTGTCGTATGCATTTAAATTCACGTCTTTAAAATGCTCCTGAATCGTATCCATTTATGGAGACTTAGTTTCCAAAAATGGAAACGCCGATGTTCCAAAAATAGAAACGCTGAAGTTCAAATGTGTGCAAACTTAGCTTAACCCTCGCCCATGTAGGGGGGGGTTGGTGCAACCCCCCCCCTGAGGTTTTTCGGAAATAGTGCAAAAACGGCGGCGCGCAGCGCCGCCAAATTTTGGATACCTTATGGGGCAAACCTTGCGCATCTTTTGATAAAAAGAATTTGACCGGGTCATGTCAGGTCACGGAGTTATGACGTCACAAAGGGAACAGCCTCCGGCCGGATTTTCACAAACTGAGTGCCAACGCCCGAGGTTTCCTGCCGGTGGTACGGACATCGGTTGATGGATCGTGATGAAACTTCCCATGCATGTTGGGGCAAGTATTGGCTATCATATGGTATAAGAAACTTGACCGGGTCAGGTCAGGTCACGGAGCTATGACGTCACAAGAGGAACAGCGTCCGGTACTATTTTTGAAAAGCGCCCGAACCACTATTTTGCTAATTCTTGTCACCTCAATGGGAATATGCAGCAATATTAGCTTCTATAGGGAGCAAATGGACATCCCAAATCCAAAAATACTATCAGATTTCAAAAATTTAAATTTTGATTTTTCGAATTTCTGCCGCCGACTGTGACCTTGCCGACTTCCGGCGCTCCCAATGCGCCATTTTTAGAGCTAGGGAAACGAAATACATACCAAACGATAGAGAATTGATCAAGGAACACGATAGTTAAGGTTTCAAGTCGATATCTCCCACCGTTTTGCCGCAATCGCCGCGGAAAATTTGAAAAAGTCTATTTTTCCGAAAATTTGACCTTTGACCGGTCAAAAGTAGGTCAAATGTTGACCTAGGACCAAAAAATATACCACCAATCGCGAGATCTCGGCGAGAGCAATCCGTTGGTCTTTTCCGCTAAGCTCTACGACGCTCCGTTTTCAAACGCCAAGGGGGGGGTCGCACCAACCCCCCCCCCCCCCTGCATGGGCGAAGGTGGCAGATCGCCGTTTACGGGCGAGGGTTAAATGTGTTTTTAAAATTCACATGCAACTAAAAATTTGATGTTTTGGGACTGGTTTAGCATCTCGGCTCTCGGCAGTTACCTTGGACGTCGGGATCGATAATAATACCTTACGCGCCGCAACTTGAGCACATTCAAAAGTCAACTAAAACTAAGATTTCCCACAAACTACTGGACAGATGTGGTCCAAAGTGGGCAATACATAAAGCGTAGATATCATTTCAATATATAAAATTAATATCAATGTTACACATGAGCTAGAATGAAAAAATTCATCGTCAGAATACAACGGTATTTGGTGTGACGACGGTGCAGACCTTATTTCCATCCTGCTTTTTACGTATTTGCACGGAGATTTACGTTGATCCAAGCCTACGATCATACTCAGCACATTTGAAATATCATAAAATGCCCACTTAAGTCTCCAAATAGGGCTTTGCAACAACTTTCATGCGATTTAATCAAAGATTGACGACCACCAGGCCGCTGGTAGGTACACCGGAAAACGCAGCGTGAAAATGAATGAAAAAATGAAGTTCCCGGTGATCTGGTTGTTCCAATCAATGGGTCAGTCTTTCAGTAGTCTGTTAAAAACGTTATTTTTTGTTCAAAACATTCATAAATGTTATTATTTTCGATTAGAAAAACGTGTGAATTTTTTATCACGTCAACATGTTATAAGCATCGCCTCGTTCGTCAACTTTCGGTTTTCTGATCGGAAAGTCGGAGAACAGGAACATAAACTAGAATGCTGGCTGTCGATTGGTGGCATCCTGCGCATGCCAAATTGCACCAATCAATGCCCAGTTTGCTTTAAAGGTAGCGATGCACACAGCGTCTCCATTTATGGAACAAATCGTTTCTATTTTTGGAAACGGCGTATCCATTTTTGGAACATTGTTCCAAAAATGGAAACGTTTCCATAAATGGATCGGAAATACCACAGTGTGCCCGACTGTAATTTTCCCCTCTGACACCCAAGACAAAACTCAATTTT